ATGTTATTGCAGTGCAGGCCTAGTATAAATTAAGCTTGAATTTGATCTTTTCATTCAAGTGGGGATTTTAAACTCTTTTTGGTTTTGGTTTTTGTTTTTTTTTTTAGAGAATAGGTGCATTTTTTTTGTGTTAAATCACTATATTCTGGCACAAACTAATCTTCTGATGAATTGCAAACAAAAAATATATTGTAGGTTGTCACTTTTTGCCTCATCCAAAATTAATTTCACAATTAAATCAAATACGTATTTCAAACTGTCCATGTAATTCAAGTAAATGAAGTCTTCTAGATGGGTTACATTTGGAGGAATTCAATTATAGTATCTATTTGGATTATACAGGCTATATGTACCCTACGTTAACATTAGTTCTTAGACTGTTTCTACATACATATCTTGTTATTAACCAACTAACTGCAGAGCCCTGTTGTGCAGAGCTTAAACTTCTGCCCAGTCTAGCAGTTCAGCAAATGGTGGTCACTTGTTTCCCCTCTGTGTGGTGTGGTTGACCCCGACCAGCAGCAAGCACCCACCCAGCCCCTCACCCACTCCCCACAGGATGGGTAGTAGAAAGAAGGCAGGAAGGCTCATGGATTGAGACAATGACAGTTTAACAAGGAAGGCAAATTCTGCTCCCACAAGCAAAGCACAAAGACAATTTCATTCACTACTGCCCCATCAGCAGGCAGATCCCCAAGCACTTCTGGAAAACAAGGCTTCACCACAGGTTCCTTGGAAAGATGCATGCCATGACCATGAATGTGCCTGTTTCCTCCTCTCCCTGAGCTTTTATTGCTGAGCACAGTGTTATGTGGTATGTCCCTTTGGTCAGTTTGGGTCAGCTGTCCTAGCTGTGTCTGCTCTCAGCCTCTCGGGGAAGAAGTGACAGCATGTCAATAGTGAGCAAGCACTGCTCAGCAACAGTTGAAACACAGGTGGAGTGCTACCAATGCTGTTTTAGGCACAGACGCAAATCACAGCACCATAAGGGCCGATATAAGGAAAGCTAACTCCATCCCAGCCTAACCCATTTTGGTGTGATGACACATTCTTCATGGTATCTGAGATCATGTTAGAAAAAAGTGAATCCTTCCTGCTGAAGAGACACTTCTTAAGTCCCCATCTAGACCTGATGCAACATGTATTGCATCTAAGCAACTGGATTCAGCTATTCTGTTGCTTGTCATAACTGAGTAAGATGAGACACCAGAATTTCAAAAACACTTTTTGGTGTATGAATTGGTCCAGATGTCCTTTAGGTTACATGGATGCATGCCATCTTTGGGCTTGGCTCTTTGAGAGCTTTCACATACTCTTCTGGTTATATTGTTAAAGTAACTGATGGAAGAAACCAAGAAAGTACAGGTATTTGGGTTCAGGGACTTGATGATTCCTCAACCAGCAAAGCAGTGTAGCTACTGCTACCAGAAGTGGCAGTCCTGTTTCCTTGTTCTCTGTCTGGTGCCACTACCTCTTTCATGCTGGTATGAGCAATTTGTGCAGTGTATGGTGAATCACACGAAGGAGCTGACAAATTGCAGGCTTTACCAGTTCTTTTAGCCAGATCAATCATACCACACATTTTTTCACTATGAAGTATATACCTGAGTATATACATGCAGCAAGTTAGTTAAAATCATAGGTTTACAATATCGGAAGGCACTTTTAAAAGCTTGTCAATAACAGAATAGGCTCAATATCTCCTGCTGAAAGGTATGACTGTCTTATGCCATTATGTCCATCCATTGAAAGGATATGGAAGTATCCATTTAAAGAATAACTTCATAGATCCTGCAGTCTGTTAGGCAAGCACTTTTCAGGCGTTTGTGGACCTTCAGGGCAGTTTGAATGATAGTATGTAGCTGGGGATTTTCTGTAACTTCTGACTCCCTTTACATGAGCTCTGCCTTCTCTTGTAAATGTGCAGCTGGTCATCTACAAGTAGTCTTTCCCCTGCCAAGATCTGTTTAAATCTTGTAACTGTTACAGCATCCCTGAGGTAGGTATAGTCTGGGAATTTACGGGTGGTCTCTACACAGTCACTTAGGCTATTATCAAATAGTACAAGAGATGAGGGTAGGTACTTATGGCTGTTCTCTCTACCCTTTCATTTAGCAGTGAAGCCACCCTTTTGCTCTATCTGTTAGTTCTATCTGGACCTGGTTCCTTATCTGTCTTGTGAGAATGTTATGACAGACCATGCCAAATGCTTCACTACCATCAAGATGAATCATGTGTATTGTTTTCCCTCGGTCCACAGAACTGTCATAAAAGGAAATGAGATTTGCTTGGCTCAATTTATTCTCAGCAAATCCATCTTGACTGTTTAATCATCTGTTATCTTCTAGGTCTTTACAAACAATTTTGGTACTTCTGCTTTCTCCAACAAATGAAATTAGACTGGTTTGTAATTCTTCAGCCCTTCATCCTCCCCAATATCTTCTTGAAAATGGACATGATTTTGGCCTTTCCCGAGTCTTTTGACCCTTGTCCAATCCCTGGGTTCTTAAAATAGTTATTGATGGCAGAGATCTAACAAGCCTACTCTGTAAGCGTGGTGTCTGTGCCAAGTCGTTTGCTATCCCAAATATCCCAGATTTATCTGAAATATTCTCCAACATTGTTTCATCTTGTTCAAAGCTAAAACCTTACCTCTGCCCTTCCTACTAATCATGGTAGAACTATGGTCACAGTTGATTCTTTCAGCAAAGAATGATGTTAAAAGAGCATTACATACTTAGATCACTTAAAGTTTGTTTTGTTCTTTCCTCGTGTTGGGTAGTGGATTAATACTTCAATTCTGATGGCTGCTGCTCTATTTATAAAAAAAAAATAAAAATAGCTTTGAAAGTCCTATACTAATTACTTTGAATTTTGCACAGTAGCCATTGTCTATGTGTTATGCTTCCTGTATTTAGGAGCCTGGTCCTATTTTTCATTTCCTGTAAGCTTCTTGTTGAATTGAAGGTAATGACCAACTTATGATAATACTAGTGACAGGGTAGTAGGAGACTATACTTTCTCTACAGTGAAGCAGTTTCCTGATGAAATTCTTTTTTCCCTGAAACAAGGAAAGAATTGTCTTTTCGCTCTAGGTTTCCTACTCTTGGGGGCTGTAATAACCGAATTTATTGAAGTCCTCGTTTCAGTTTCTGCTTTATTCTTATAACTCTTTTTTTTTCTTCTTTTTTCTGAAGAACAGAGATTTTTGAGTATCTGCTTCAATGAACTTTCAATTCAAGGGAGAAGCAATCCCTCCATGGGATTCACGGGCAGACAGAACAGTTAAAATAGTTCAACCACTTAAGTCTTCCCCTCCTGTGGTATAGTACCTGCTGACACAGCGTACCTTTGTTTTTGCATTCACGAGTCATCCTGAAGAGGTTATGAGTGACAGAAAACCTTTGCCATGCTTTAGTTACCACACAGAGCTGTGATAGATAGCAAGGCTACTGGGTAGCAGGGTCATTGATTTGTCTGATGTCCCAGCTGCAGGGCTAGCATCTAACAGTAGAGGAAATCATGCTCTGTCATGATGGTAGGAGAAAAGCCACCCAGTAGGGCTTGGTTTCATCTTCAGAGCAGTAGGAGAGCACAAAGCAATCTCACTCTCATAAATTGTTCAACTGCAGAAACTGTGTCTGTGTATCTCAGGCAGAGCAAGTAGGAATATCAAAGTTCAAACCTGCTTTCCCATCATTAAAAATGAATAAACATGACTGAGAATGTCTCTTGCAATCTCAGGTTATGCGACTGGGCTAATACATGAAGACATGCTTTCGTCTGACTGGGAGAAAGTAAAACTTTGTAGGTTAGCGTGATGAAAATGATTGATCTGCATTACAGTAGCAGGTAGAGGAACCAAGTATTACTACAAACTTACTGTCAAGCAGAAGAAAAGGAGCCTTATTACATTTTACACCTGGGAAATGATGGAAAAGTGAAGCTGAAAGGGTGTGCTTCAGGCCTCCCTCCGAGTTCTAAGGCAGCTCAGGACTAGCTCTGTCCTGGTCCTGAACATAACACATGACCATCGGTTTTAAGAAAGGGATCATCTAACTGACAACGACCGGTTTGGACTGGAAACTTTTGCTGATTTTTGTTAGTTGTGATGAATGGGAAGATTCCATGATACTCCGTGGATGTCAGGTATTTATTCAAGTAGCTCATTGGGAAGTTTTGGAAAATGGAAGAAGTGGGAAGGAAAATTATAGGGGAGAGCAAGTGCAATGGTGGGTGACAAAATGAGTGTTTGACCTCAGAAAGGTAGTGTAAGAGAAATTAAAAATCTTAATTTCGTAAGTAGATTTGTGAGACTAAGAATGTAGCTTAACACTGCAGGCGTTACTGTTTCAGCAGATGCCTTCTGCGCACTGAGAATTTCTGAGCTAATAGTAGCCTCAAGCAGTAAACAAATTCTTAAAAACAAACAGAAGACCCCCAAATCAAACAAGGAAGCATACAAACACCCCCAAACCAAGCACCATGACCAAACCCAAGAAACTTTACCCTGAGCTCTATTTCAGAGACACGTTGTCATATAAATATAGAAGATCTCCAAGGTCCGTATGGGACTGTTTTACCCCCACAGGTGTTTAACTGCTTTACTGATGTTGTAGGATTGCAGTCTGGCCCTTACCCAGCTGATGCACAAACCACAGCCAGTGCTGCCTTGATGGAAAAGCATTCTCCAGTTAAGCATTCTGTCTCAGTGGCAGTAGGCTTTGCATGTTGCTCATCACTCTTAAGTGCATCAGGTATATTAAGTCTTTCACTGCAGGATGTCATTTTTGTTCCTTAATTCCTCTTCTCTGAACCAGCCTGTTTTTCAAAGCAGTACTATATAAAAGGGAGAGATGTGAAGTTTTACATCAACGAATCTCTTACAACCTACACACAACTCTTCCGTGCACAAAACCTGCCTCTACCCTTGGTACTCTGTCCCCTCGTTGCCCCCGGGCCCTATCCCCTCACTGCTGAGGCCGTGGCTCCGCAGCGCCCCGGGCTGCACGCCCTTCCCTGCCCGGCCGCAGGAGAGGACAGGCTGGTTCGGCTTCTCGGGTTGGGTCTTAAGCGGCTCGAAGGCGAAGGCAGCCCCGGGGTGCTGCTGCTGCGGGGGGAGCTGCTGGGCTGGACCGGGCCGCTCCCCGCCCCGGCTGAGGTAAGCGGGCCCCGTGGGCGTCGCTGGCGGTGGCGCTCGTCACCCGTTGACGGGTGTCCCCTAATCGCGTTGCCATCAGCCTCCGCCGGGGAGTATAAAAGGGGCCGCAGCGGGTGAGGCGTACAGAGCGCGGCGCTGCCCTCCTCCCCGGCCCCCCGCCCGGCCGTCCCCATGCAGCCCGCCATGATGATGTTCTCCAGCAAGTACTGGGCGCGGAGGGGCTTTTCGCTGGACTCGGCCCTGCCGGAGGAGCGCCCCGCCGTCGGAGGACTCACCGTGAGTGGTGGGGCTAGGAGCGGCGGCGGGCCGGGCGTGGGAGCCGCGGAAACCGCGGGAGCCGGGCAGCGGCGGGTCCGGTCGGGTCGGGGCCGGTGCCAGGAAACCGACCCCTTCCTTGTAACTTTCAGGGGAAGGGAACAGTTCTCCCGCGGTTGCAAGGGCCGGTAAAGCCGACTTCGCAGTATAATCGGTCCTCGCTGCAAATGCTGCTTAAAAGTGTCGTTAACTGTAAAAGTTTTGTTAGACGTACAAACCTTCCTGCAGAAATGGACCGGCATACCATAGGAATAATATAAAAACACTCGGATCCAGTTCAGGTAGTTCTAAGTGCTTGAATTTGAAAGGATTTGATTAGTTCTCGTGACTGTGCTCACCAGCAGAATCTGCCCTTTCAAGACAGTCAGACACACAGTATATAAACCGTGCAGATCACACTGCCTTGGTGCCTGTGGCACTTTCGTTGCAGAGCAGCTGGATTTGAGGTTTCCCAGCTTCTGCCAACTCGCAGGGACACAAGGACCTGTGTGAGCATTTTGCAGGGGATGTGCATCTTGCCTGTTGGAAACCCTGTCAGGGGGGAGAAGCGGTTCCCTGTCTGTGAGGTGATGATAGCGGTGCGGCAGGTGATCTCAGCCATGGGGTAAACTTCTGTATACTCAGGTAAATGTATTTGAATAGGTGTAATTTAATAGGAGTAAAGAGTGTTAGTTGGTGCTAATAATGCCATCTGCTTTGAATATGTGAGATGTTCAGGATTATGAAGATTTTGCCTCCTGTAGAGTTTTGCAACACAGGAAGGTCCAGATCACTTGAGAAGAACCAACAGAATGCACCAGTTTGTACCAGTTGTAAACTGGCTGGTCATCTTTATAGTAAAATGTGAAATACCTCGATTTGCATATGCTTTGCTTCACTTAGAAATACTGAATTAAATAGGATATATTTGTTTTACCCTCTTTAAATTTGAGTTACTTCACTGAGTTCTGCTATAGATGACTTATTCCTGAGTACTTGTGCTTGCTCCAGATAATTAATTTTCATTAAGGAATTAGATCTGTTAGTCTCTATTTAGTTATGAAGTGTACTAATGAGCATGGCTGATAAGGGTTGAGTTCAGCCTTCTCTACTGTGTTCATAACAAATAGGTTTCTACTTTTTATATGCTTGAAAGGGTTTTTTTTAGCCATCACTTTGGGTAATGTTTGCTTGAAAGCATTAGGGGACCTGTGATAGTCTTGGAAGGTGCCAAGTGCGCTTGTTTCCCAGAGGAGTCGATGGTGTTGAGGTTCTCAGACACTCAGTTGACTACATGATCCTCAGTACAGAACTTCTAGAAAGCAGCACACAGTGAAAAATCATGGATCTATAAAGACAGAACCTTCGTCACTTCATGTGGAGGTTGCGTGCTTGATGAATGAGAAAAGGACTCAGCCAAATCCCAAATATTATTGAAGTTAAAACAAAAGTGGCCTTCCCTTAAGCTATCCCTGAGCAGACCTCCTACTGAGCAGAATCCTGTAAGCTCAATTACTAAGAAATAAACATGTTTGAAACCCTTCATATATCATTCTAAAAACACAAATATTTTTCCACATGGTTTTTGTGAAGTTTAATAGATGATGAGAAAAGACCACAGAGACTTTTTGGCATGTCCAGTAACTAGTTTAAGAGTGGCTGGTTTAACCTGTGCCATTTAAAGAGTGGGTTTTTGTAAGATTATGCATTTTAACTAGTTCTTTTTTTAAGTCAGTGCATTCTTGTACTTTAAAAAAAAATAAACCTCAGAAGATCCAGTGTGAGCTGACTGGACAGCTGTGAACTCTGTTCAGTAGGGGGGGATATTTCAGAGTAGGCAAGCATCAGGTAAAAAAGTGAACCAATCTGACATGAAGCATGTGGATGCATTAAGATGTATGTGATTGAAATACCTTGTCACTGCCAGCAACATCCATTTTTAAGAAAATCACTATATATAATCCATTTTGAAAAGGAATCATGCTGAAGGTCACTAATTTTTTCCTGGGTCACAAAGCACTTGATAAAATCTTGTGAAATCTAGAAGTACAGGGAGACCCTTTGCTAAAGTCCATCGACATGGGTCCACAGATTTTCACAAGTGAATAACCTACCTCTAAGGAGAAAATAAGAAGAGAGATTTAACTTGGCTTCCATCAAATATTATGAGACCTGTTTAAAACTTCATTTTTGGATTATTTTCTGAAAGCTGCTTTACAATTTACTGAAGGACAGTTTAATTCACATGCAGTAGTTGTACATGATTCTTAACTTCTATCTTCATTTATCTTTAGTGACTCTATTATGGATGATAAAAAAGCAGTTAGTGTCTCACTGGAGATTTGATTTCTCTAGGAGGCACAACCTAGGGACTGGAAAACTCAGGCTGTTTCTTGAAAATTATGGTTGATATTATAACAATTCCCTATCAGTGCTGTACTGTTGGCATCTCAACAAGATTTAAGATGAGAAATCTACATTTTTTTTTTTAAATGCTGACTTAAATTTGGCTTAAAGCTGTCTTTGACCTCCAGATTGTGAGAAGAATGTAGGAGTGGCCAAGGATGGTGTCATTTTCTGTATGTTTTTGAGTTCCTGATCCAGTTCATCTTCAGTGGGAGGTACAGTTTTTTACAATGAGAACAACCAGCCATTGAATAATCTCCTAAGGGAAGTGGTGGGTTCCCAACACTGAACACTTCTAAAGAATCACCTGGACAGGGTGCTGGGATACATTGTCAGGACTGTGCTTTTGCAAAGAAGTGTTGGACCAAAACATCCTTGAGGTCCCTTCCAACCTGGTGTTCTATGATTCTGTGATACAGTCTATGTGTGTTTCTGTCCTTGTTTGTATAATCAACAGAGGTTTTGGTTTTTCAGGAAAAATGGCATTACATGAGCACAGTAACTGTACTGAAACAGAGAACATAAAGCTTGTGTTTTAAATGTGATGGTTAATACAAACATACAGACCAGTGTAAATAATTGTAAACTGACTGAAATAGGATGACTGAAATTTTGCAGTGCAATTTCGCAGCAATATTCAGGGTAGAATAGCGGAATAGCATCACTGCAGGCTTCGCAGTAATTTAAAGCATCTCCATTTCCTTCATATTTATTATTAATGATAGCATTGTCCTAATAATATAATAATATTTGTATCCCAAGCATTCCTATGTTTTTCCTTAAGCTTTTTTTTGTGGACTGGCCTCTTACATCATCATCTCTGACATCTGACTTTGATTTGTGATTCTGGTAATGTAAATTACCAATTTACAAGTAAATGCATTACCATTTAAATTAAGTCTGGATGAGTTCCATTCAGCTGTTTTCTAATAAAAAATTCACTTTGAGTAAAAAGACTTAAATTTGGGAAATGCCTGTTTGCATCTGTGATGATGCTGTTTCTTTATACATTTGTAGCTAAACAGATCAAGTTCTGGGAAGAATGAGGAAAAGAAAGGGAATAAGGGAAATGGCAAAGGTGAATCTGTTTCTGAAGGTGGAAAGACAGCTGTAGTGTTTTCCCTGAAGAATGAAGTTGGTGGATTGGTGAAAGCTCTCCGACTCTTCCAGGTAAAGCTTGCAAATCATTACACTGACCGGACTGAGGAAGGGCTATTGAGGTCAGGTTGTTTGTTGGTATAAATCTAATGGACCATGGCAGAAGGGATAGGGTGCAGTTACACTTTGCAGAATTGAATAAAAATAACTTAAAATTTAATGGACCATTCAACAAAGGATTTTGAGTTTGTGAAGGGTTTTCTGGAATATAGTTTAAGAGCAATACTGATGTTTGTGCCATTTGCTTTAGATTTCTGGTGTGTGATTCTCAACAGTGTAAATTAGATTTGAAGTTGTCTCTGCAGGCCACAATGAAAGGAGGCATTTTCAGAGAGAAGTTCAGAATCTAAATTATATAAAATCAAGTGGTGGTGGCAGTCTTGCTGCAAGACAGTGTTCAGTCATTAAGTTAAATGCACCTTTAAGAGCTTGCAGGGTCAGGGTTTCATGTGTTTAACTAGAATGTAAATGGTGAAGTATTGGTTCCCATATGGATCCCCATGCAATCTACAGTTTTTGGTCAGTCTGCTGGTACTGTACGTAGTCTGCTTGGCTTACTAATGATTGAAGAGGGCTTTGGGGTGTGTCTAAGGATAGTGGAGGCAAAGCAGTGTGATAAAAGTGTTAGGTTGTTAAGTCTGTGCAGTACAGTGAAGAGAAAGTGAGCACACTCAAATCTAGTTAAATTAACATTATTATTAGTACATTGTGAAATCAAATTGCAGTAGAATTTAGTGTTTATAGCAAATGTAAGTATAAAATGCTCCACCCCTGGCAGTGTTCAAGGCCAGGTTGGACAGGGCCTTGGGCAGCATGGTCTAGTGTAAGGTGTCCCTGCCTATGGCAGGGGGATTGGAACTAGATGATCTTAAGGTCCTTTCCAACTCAAACCGTTCTGTGATTCTATGCAAGTTATAATCCTATACTTTCTTCTACAAGAGGTTATTTTGATAGATGAAATGAAATCATTAGTTAACTTTCTTCATTAAGAATATTAGTTTTATTTTTACTTTCAGTCTATAGATTCTTCTGTTATCAGTATTGTGTCACTAATTGAGTAAATACAAAGTAAGTACTTTCAATGCAAACACATTTTAATTACTAGGAAAAGCTTTAATGAGGAATATGCCTTCTAGCTGGTATGTCTGTATTTCATCTGTTATTTCATCTTTCCACAGGAGAAACATATAAGTATGGTTCATATTGAATCACGAAAATCGAAGAGAAGGAACTCAGAGGTGGAAATTTTTGTGGACTGTGACTGCAGTAAGAAAGAATTTAATGAACTAATCCAGTTGCTCAAGTTTCAAACAAATATTGTCTCTCTCAATCCACCAGAAAATATCTGGACTGATGAAGAAGGCAAGGCTGCTTTTGTATCACTTGATTTAGACACTGACAAACGTTTTGCACAGGTATCTTCATAGTCTTATACGCCAGTACATTCAACTCACATTCTGTCTTCTACAGATCTTGACTGTGTACCCTGGTTCCCCAGGAAGATATCTGAATTAGACAAATGCTCACAAAGAGTTTTGATGTATGGATCTGAGCTGGATGCAGATCACCCTGTAAGTGTAATGTAAAGTTGTCTTGTAGATGATCTGTTCAGGTTATTTCCCAATCAAATAAAGAGCCTGTTGACTGCTGATTCTGAGTGCTGTTTTGAGCATTACGGTTTTCAGAAGGTGGGGATTTAGTTCTCTTCAGTAGTTTCAGTGAATTAATTTTTCTGTAGTAGGACACTCAAAAAGGAGATCTTCTAGAAAACTTCACTGTTTAAGAAGTATGTCCCCTTTTGTACTGCTTTCATTTATTTTTTTTTTTTTTTCTAATGAACTAGTTGATAGAACAGTTTCAAACTTTGAAGAGTTTAGATCAATATGACCTTTGGCTCTGCCACACGTAGCTCTTAGGTAAGAATTGGTATTGACCTAGGTGTCAGAGAAGAAACAATTATGAAGGAGTACTTCCTTGGGCACTCAAGAGGTAATTACAAAACAAAATAGAACAAGATGTTCCTGTTTCTGCATGAATGCAGCAGATGAGAAGGTGCCTCACGTTTTCAGACTTTGACGACAGGAGACAAGCCTGTGTTTCATGCAAGCTGTATGTGCAGCCAAATGCTCAATGCAAGAGGCAGAAGAATAGATTTGTTATTGTTTTATTTAATATGACTGATGTCCCTAAATGCTTAACCTCTGAGTCTTTAGATGGCAGATGATTGCAAGGATTTATGTTACATTTTCATGTGTTACAGACCTAAGTTTCTACCTTTGGACAATTTGGGCTAAAAGATGCTGGTGGCAGCTAGTTATATTAATTCCTAAAATAGTCTGGATTAAACCAATTTTGTAGGAAATTTCCAGTTTAAAGGAAGTAGGTAATGAGCTAAGATATCTGATTATAAGAATGTCTTATAGTAGAATCAGATTAAACTCTACCTGTAGGTGGTAATCTCTTTTGGGTTTTGTCACACACATTTTTGCTGGTATTGTCCAAGATGATGAAAAATGCCTGTTTCTGCATTTGTGACTGCAGAAAGATCAGGTTGGTGTAGGGGACTTTTCTGGTGATGCATCTGTATACCGTGGTACTACAGGGCTTGTGCGGACACCTCCGTGGTGACTGCCTTGGCTGAGGAAGAGCAGGTACTCCTGGTGGCCCTGGGTCTGGGGCTCTACGTCAGTGCAGAAATGGCACTCAGGCTGCTGCCTTCTATCCTGTCTGCTCCACAGCTCCTAGAGCAACCATGCCATGGTGAGAGCTCAGGCACAAACCCTCACACCTGCGCACACAAGCAAAAGGACATCATCATGATGTCCCTTGGCAGCCCCACTTCCTTGTCTCCAATGTCACCTGCCTGCCTATCAACCATGATAATTGTCATCACCTTGTTTGGTTCCCAGCCATTTCTACCATGTATGAGCCCTTCCTCCACTGTGGGCCCACATTTGGGCAGTGCATTCCTGGATTCTGGTTTCTGCCATATACTTCCTGGTGATAAACTAGGATTTACCGCACATTTTCTCAGAATGGAAAAGCCTGTTGATTACCTTCAACCATGAACAGTAATCTGGTTCAAACAGAAGCTGTAGTGGCAGCTCATTCCAGCCCTATGTCAATGGCTGTGACAGGCCATTTGGTACTCTTATGTTCTGAGCTGCTGCCTTCATTAAATACTTGAGTGCTCTGCTGAAAATCTGCCTTCAGTTTTACAGACAATGAAAAAAGACATTTGCATTATATGAATATATATTTTACACTTGGGAGAACTCCTATAAACATAATTTACACACCATTTGTTAGCCTATGCGGCATGCTAGGTGTTAGAGATGGGGGGAAAAAAAACCTGTGAAATCTGTGATGGGTCTTTCAAAGGCCACTTCTGGTGTCTGCCTTCGCGGTGGTGCATGGGTGCCAGAGGACCAAAGAGAATTACCCTGTTACAGCACCACTTCAGCAGCAGAGCCCTAACCCACTCCATACTGTTGAATGGTGTTAGTCTCAGTTTCACTACACGTGACAGACTTTTAAATCCCTTGTGCCATGTTTTCAGCTCTTGAATGATTTTCAACTGAGTAAGTCAACACTTTTGTCAGAAGTTATTGATCAGACAAAGAGGAACTCAAACTCCTGTAGGACTTTGGTGGGGAAAAAAGTGGAGAAATCCTTATATTTTCTTGCAGTGCTGTAGATAGTGTTAATCAAAATACAGTATAATTTGGTACTAAATAAACACTTTAATGATTTATTTTGTAATTCTTACAACCAATTTTCTGTCCTTATTGTGAATTACTCTCTTCTTCCTTGCTGAAGGGATTTAAAGACAATGTCTACCGACAGAGAAGAAAGTACTTTGTGGATATTGCCATGAGCTATAAATAGTAAGTACTGGCATAATTCTTCCCTATGCTGCTGACTGTTTAGGATTCACGCTTTAATTAATTCTGTAGGATGGAAATTTAACAGTAGACAAAGTCACCCTTTAAACTTTGACTTGTTTAGTATAGGCTATAAATGGCAAACCTGATGCTTGAAATCCCATTATATTTTTGGTACAGATACAGGCAAGTAAAGCATTTGAAAGGTAAGCACAATCGCTTCAGCATTTTATTTATAGCTGCTAAAACTGAAGAAACTCGTTTACAAATACTTGCATGTCTTAATGACAGACTGATGGACTGCTGAGTTGCACGTATCTATAATCCCTTTGTAATTGGACAAGCTCACTGTAAATGAAATCGGTGTTTTCTTTTCATGTGCTTACTATCCTGGACGCTGCAAAATGCCATTTATCGATTTTGCTAACACAGCTCTAAATTTCTCAAAATTCAGTCAGTGAATGTCTCTATAGTTAGTGAAGCTGATGTTGTTACCGTGCTTGGAAATCAGGAAACTTTCTGTGCTACCTACAACCACCTACTGTGTTGCAATTTTCTTGTCACAGAAGTATTCAACTAATTCTAATCATATGCTAGGTTTCATTTGCAACAGGCCTAAGCTCTCATTCTCAAGGGAACTAACATATTAGTTTCATGTTCTTTTTGATTTTACCACACTTCAGGTTTTAATTTTTCTCCTTTGAGATTTCTACCTATTTAAAGAATATAACACACTTTTTTTTTTTTCTCCTTTCGTAGAAGGCACATTCTGTAAGGAAGCAAAAAAAGGGGTGAAGGTTTTTCATTTCTGTTTTTGTTTTTCATATAGGCGTAGTATATGGGCTGCAGAAAGCTGGGGGGACAGGGGGATTGACTCTGCTTTGTGACATGTAATCCTGATTGTATTTCTCCTTTATTTTTGTCCCATTCCTGTTGTTAAGCTATTACCAATCTAATAAATTGGTAAGTGCCAGTTCTGGTTCCCCTTTTTTTCCACTCATGGTGGCATTTGTTTAGCTGGGGGCTCATGATAGTCATCCAGCATACTGAGCTGCTGCATGCTAGGAGCAGGGTGCTGGTTGGTAGAGAAGCTTCCTAGGCTGACCAGGTAAGTCCTAAATTTTACAGCTTTCAGACATAAATTGAGACAGTTTGTCTGTTTGTTTAGAGAAGATTGCTTTATTATCTTCTTTTTTTCTAGTCTGATGCTTGTGGTAGATTTAGCTTCTTGACCAGCATTTCTTGCAGTAAGAAATGGCAAGCAGGTACCTGTGGGTGAGGGCAGACTGTGTGTGTTCCTAGAGCTCTTTCGTAAGTTGAACAGTTTGCCATTCATCCATGACGGTAACAGTAGTGCCACGCACTTCACAGCTGCTGAGTTGCTGGAAATACCTTCCTTCCTTCTCCCTCTCAGCTGGTTAAGTGCTGGTAAGATCATGCAGCTGGCTCGTTAAGCAGTGGTTGGTCTTCTGCTACAAAGAGGTGTTTTGGTTTTTTTTTTTCACTCTGAAACCAGTGAGAAAAATCTTTTCACAAAACTCACATAGAGTAATCCTGCATACCCCCGGAAAAATAGATAAAGGAAAGGAAAAATCTTTTCCTTCAGTAGGTATTGAAGGCTCAAGAACCATTTCTGCAGGCACATTACAAAAATCAGACAACACAAACCAGATGTTATTTGGGGGTCAGATCTTGTACTTCAGCAAAACTTCTCAGAAGTACTCCTTCACCCTATTGATCTTTTCAAACCTTTAAAAGATTTCAAACTTTCCAATTATTACAAGCAGAGGGAAAACAAAATGCTTCAAATATTTTTACCCAGGGACTACAAAATCACTGGGAAGCCAGTACTCAAAGCAGTTACTTAAAAATGGCAAAAGCTCATTCATACTCCACAGGTCTCACGTTGTGGTTATCTTAACCCCAGGCATGTGCCATGTCTACTGGGCTATACTGTCTGTCTCCAGGTATGCCTGTACAGACAGCCCAGGGAGACATGTACCCTCAGCATCCTGCAGCTCAGCATAAGCCATGCTGAGGGAAGGGCAAATCAGCTCAGGGAGGATTCCATGCTGCTGCAGCTAAGCTGTTTTCTGCTCCCCATGCTGAGGAGCTCAGATTTGTGACACTATGCTGTAACAGGCTCATCACTAATGACTATTTACTTATACAAAAAGAACAGCTCTGTTGTAAAGACTGCTTCCCTTAGGGATAAATTCAGAGCATTGTCTTGAAACAATTAGTGTCTTCCAGGTGAGTGACCTCCCTAATCACCTGAGGAGGCTTGATTCATTTCTACTTTGCCAATGTTAAAAAAACCCCAAACATTTGTTTCTTTAAAAAAATAACAGCTTTGGCTGAAAAAAAATTGGCTACAAGGAGTTGGCTCTGTAAATAAATAGTTGAATTGAAAATCCCAGATCAGCATTTCCTTTATGAATTGCTACAATTCTATAGTGGTAGATGCTCTGTTTTGTTTGAACATAAAAGAGGCCTCTGTAGTGGAGAGAGAGGGAGAAACACTAAGAAGGGAACTTGGAGAAGCAGGTATTTTCTGGTGCTGGGTGATAAAGGGAAAGACACATTAATAGAGCACAGCAGTAAAGATCAGCTGTATAAAATAAATGGACCAAAAAAAATTTCCTCCTTCCTTCACTTAGCTTCTACCCTAAAGAGAGTGAAAATGTGTTGATGTTGCTAATTAATCCTTTGAGACTGATTAGGGATTGAAAAAGTGTTGAGAAAATTAAATCTGGAGGAAAAATACTATGTTTAAGAGGGAATTCATAATATGAGTTGATAGCTCATGACCATGGCAAAATGGAAAGACCCTATTTTAATAAGGGGAAATAAAAATTCAGAATGGCTTAGCTTGTAGAGTCATCTTACTCAGCCACAAGAAAACTGGCTATGCAGGCTGGCCATTTATGTGATTTACTGCAATGTTTGAGTGCAAGGTGGGTCTTGCTTGCTGAAATAAGAGGGCAAGAAAAATGAGCTTTGCAGAGCTGAGTGAGAAAGGTATAGGTCCTCCCTCAAGTCTGGCTGCCTTGATCCTTTAGATAAAGAAAGCAATGCCATGATCAGCTAGAAATAAGATCAGCTCTCCTAGGCATAAATCCTATTAAGGAATTAATGTTCAGTGAACCTTACTTCAGTACTAGTAAATTAATTGAAACAATAAGTTACAAACCTTTTAGTGAGCACGGACCAAGCTTCAGATCCTTGGTTGTGTTATACCTTTCTAGCGACAGGCTAAATAAAAACCTGAGTTTTAGCCCTGGTGCACACACTTCTTCCTCTTTGCTGGGCCAGTGCTGACCTATACTGGCAGCATCCACAGTAGAGGTCAGGTCTGAAGAAAAGCGACAAGGCTACTGAACAGTATTCTGGCAACCTCAGGTGAATGGAGCAGTAACCTGCTTGTATCTGTCATGTATGGTACAATTTAGAATAGCTGTTACGTTTTCTGTGAGCTGGCAGGCAGCTTAAGGTGATAAAGGTGAAGACAGATACTAGACCTGAAGGACTCACTCCTGCTGCAGAATGGGCACAGACCCAGTACGGCTTCAGCTGATGAGAAATGCTTCACTTGAATGTGTTGCAATTCCTGTCGTGTCTGCAAAAGAGTAGCTGAAGGGGAACTAGAGGGTGTATTGTATGTTCAGCGAGTCCTTAACAAGAATGAGTACCTCATACAAAGTAGCCTTTGACTGACAGTAACTGCTGTGGATCGAAATTCTTTGATACAGTGAAAGGCAAGGGGATTAAATGGGAAGTTTTCAATAAAGATGAGAGAGCAGCCACAGTAAGCGTGGGACAGAGGAGCCTCTCTTGTGCATGTAGGGACTGCATAGCAGCATTCACCATATGACATGAGGGCTCATTCCTGTTACCTTGTCCGATGGAGATAGGCAACACTATGAACTGGGCAACAACCAAGATGGAAAGTTCACCCCCAGCAGAAGCCCATCACTGCAGTTCCGCTACGGTAGGATTCCCCATGCCCAGTACACCCGTTCAGCTGCTGTCCGTGGTACTGAGGAAGCTGCAGCTCTGTGCAGGGGAGTGGGATATAGGGACTGATGGGGAGGAGGAGGATCCTCTGAATTCCTTGGCCAATGTGTAGTACATTACAGTGCAGGAAAAGAAGATACTTGCAGAGAAGGCAGATTGTACAGGTTACATGCTCTAGCATGAATTTTAAATCCAGAGAAATATTATAAAGTGTATTCTAGGGAGACCTGATAATGTGAGATGTTGGCCCATGACCATGGCATGATAAATTCCTTGCAGCTAAATACAAGGTAGTGTAATTTGGAAGGATCCTTTCATACCCTTCACACTATCAGTTTTGAATTAGCTATAACCACTCAAGGCAAATCCTGGATATCAGAGACAGGGTACCCTGGAAGGCTTTTCTGTACATCTGTGGAAGAGCGAGGAGGCAGGGGAATGGTGCAGAAGAAAAGAAAAAGTAATTAAAGGAGAGATGTATTTAGGGGCTTAATTACACCTAGGATAGGCTGTTGGCTCTGAGGTGAGCTTCCTCATGATGTCATCCTGCACGAATTTGGGGTTCCACACATATCTGCACATGCAAGCAACCATCTAAACAATAAATATATATATATTTCAGCTGGATCCACACATTTCTAAACATCCATGTAATTGCCTGATCTTCACTTTGTAAAATGCTAGGTAATGATGCCATGTGAATATTAAGTATTTTAAAGAATGCATAGTAAGTGCAGTCTGCTGATGGTCTTACTGAATCTACAAATTAGACTAAATAAGGATCTTCAGCTGACCACTTGCTAAGGCATCAGTGACAATAAATGGAGAAATATTACTCTGGTAGAGGAACATGGCATATAAGAAATCTATCTTTCTACTATGATATATATTAAGATTAATAGTTTCATTGCTTAGTAAGAAATACGATTCTTAAGAAATGAATGCAATATGTACAACGTAACATCAGTAAGAAAGTCTAAGAAAAAACATCTAGCTGTTATTTCAAAATAGTTTTCAATAGTCTTAAAAGTTTATGTCTTCCTTTATTTATTTAAATAATAATTTTTACAGAAATTTTGCCATCCTCAGTCTGTCAAGAATCTGGTTGTATTCAGGTGTATTCTGCATTATTTTGTTTTTTACAGTGGTCAGCCCATTCCCAGAGTGGAGTACACAGCTGAAGAAATTAAAACATGGGGGGTGGTATTTAGGGAGCTCAGTAAACTCTATCCTACCCATGCTTGTCGTGAGTATTTGAAAAACTTTCCCCTGCTGACCAAGTACTGTGGATACAGAGAGGATAACGTGCCTCAGCTGCAAGATGTTTCTGTTTTTCTTAAGGGTAAGTTCCATATTTGGTTTGCCAATTGATAGAGTTCCATGAAAACACTCTTTTTTTTGTTAGATACAAAGCACATGGAGTGAAAAGACTCCCTGCATTGTCAGTGAGCTTTAGTTGGGCCAGAAGTATCAATCTGGTTTTGACATTCTCCATGGCAGAAAGTTTGTTGAGTCAAAACAGTTGTGTTTGTGTATTTGCAAGTAGGAATTTGAGTTAAAAAGCTGAAGATGCATCACATAATGTTATCACTTGATATTCCTCTCTTCACAGAGAGAAAAGTCACTACAATGAAAAGAAAGAGCAGAGTTAGCTCTGCTTTTCTCATTGTACCACAGGGTGGGAGTTCTGATAACTGCAAGTGGGCATCCCCCTAAATATCCAGGCAGGTAAAAGAGAGAATAAAATTCCAAGATAATTGAATTTAAATAGGAGAGCAGGTTTGGAGGACAGGAGGCTTTCCTGAGTGCTCAACACCTGAAGTCATATATTGAAAAAAATCAATGTGACTGCATAGGTGATCTGGTACCTCTCATTAATGTTATTTTTTAAGTGACCAGTATATTACATATTTAAGTTTGAAAATACTCTTATTTTTCATCTCTAATGGAAATTTATCCCATATGGAAGAAGTGGCAGACATGAACCTGCTGTTCTTAGCAGTAGAGGAAAAGCCACTAAAGAGTTAATTTAAGATTTTAATCTCTCAAGGATCTTTCAGATACACATACTTGTTCCTTAATCCTCTTGCTCAGGAGCTTCAGGAGCTCCAGAAGTAAAATATTGTAAAGATGGGTGTTTGGAAAAAAATGTTATGTGTTGTTAAATGTTATGAAAGGAATTAGCAATGCATTTTGCCCCAAATATGTGTTGAAAATCTTTAGCTAAGAGAAATATAAAATTTGTAATGAAAGGCTTCCTTTCTTCATCCATGATTTCTGTTTGTGAACACCTGCATTTGGTAATAACTGACTCATCACTCTTAGAATTTGGCTATGTCCTTCTGGGTGTCTCATTATTGTATTGCAGTCTCTAAGGAATGATGCTAAAGTGTATGGTTTCTTTCTCCCTAACTAGAAACTGAAACCCTCACACTCCTCCAGAAACAGGTTTTCATTCTAAATACAGCAATAGTAGTGTCTATTTAAGAAAAAATTGGAACATCCTTCTGTAAACACTTGGAAAGAATAAAGAATGAATTTGGGAGAGAAACATGCTTTTCAAAGTCACTCAGTGAAATTATTTCCCACTGGGACCAATCTGACAAAGGAACACTTTGTTAAATATTTCAATGAGGATCTCAACTGTGAAAGCCAGTATTTTACTGTCACAAAGTGTAATTTATTTGTAAAAAGAAGAACAGATTTAATTTAATCCTGCTCTATTCTGTTAGTTTTTAATATGTATTACAGAAGACATCTTCTGTTTTCAAAATTTCTCTCCCATTTGGTACCAGACATAAAAGTCTATGATTTGAGAACATCACTTATGGTGTTTTCTAGATAAATGTATTCAGACCAACTTTGAAATACCTCAAACTGTTTTCTTTAAACATATGCTAGCAATACAGGATAGTTCTTCTATATAATAGGTGAAAATTTTGTGTGGTGATCTTCAGCCATGATTCTCCATGTCATGCTTCTGGTACAATAATTGACAACATATCACTACCTGTCCTCAGAAACTGATACAGTTATATATTTATATATATATATATATATAATGTGGTATTTTATTATCTCCTTCACTTCAGAAAGGTCTGGCTTCACAGTGAGACCAGTTGCTGGATACTTGTCTCCCCGAGATTTTTTAGCTGGCTTAGCATATAGAGTTTTTCACTGTACTCAGTACATACGACATGGCTCGGATCCTCTCTACACACCGGAACCGTAAGTTGCTACATTTGTTTTAGTTCTGAGAAAATATGCTCACTAGATTCTTAAACAACCTAACTGAATTTGTCAAGACTGAAAACAGGAACCTCCCTTCAAGTGTAAAAATCTACTTATACCATGGATGACAAAACCCTTTTCTTAAAAGGCTCTTAAATGACTGGGTTGTTTATACAGTGGGTAAAAAAAATCTGTCTGGATTATATTTCAGTGAAAAATGGAGTTTTCAACTAAGCATTTTGAACAAGTACCTAAAATTTTATTCTCTGGTGGACAGCTAAGGAAAGAAGTTGGGGAAAAAAACCCTGAATCAACTGAAAAAAAAAATGTTTTCAGAATTACAGTTTGGTCTTCTTATGTCCCCATTTATCTTTCTTTGGGTCAGACTCCACAGCTGACCTTCATTTATCTCTGATAACACAACACAAGCAAGTCATGAGGCATTATTCTCTCAGCCAGGGAGGATATTAGCTATAAAGCCTGTTATAGGGGATGTGTTAGAAACACGAGACTTTCATGGGACAGCATTGCAGCTTTTCTAAAACAGAATATTGTGAGTTTGGATGAAATATTTCAGCATTTGGCCTCTTGATGAAAAGTAGGGGGAAAAAAGATCAAAGCGATTGTAGTTCTTGTCCTGTATTATATATGGTGTGCTCTCTACACTAATAACAGAACAATACATGTCAGTTAGATAACATGGAAGTAGTTTTACCAAAGTCATACACTGATCTTGTAACCACGAGGAATGACATTTTCGCAGTGAATCAGGTGGTTAGCATGAAATTGTAGCTGTTGTTAATCAGTTTGTACTACTTGAGTGTGTATTATTTTTGCCCAAATTTACACAAAGGATTCATACATATATATTCAGCTCCAGCCTTGCAAACATTTGGATGCATGCCTAATTTTGATTTCATGAATAGACTGCCAAAACCATGGAGTGATATTTTTGGATATGAAAGGATTAATGAAACCGCATATTAAGCTGGAACTAAAAATGCTCTAACATTATTCTGGCAGGAGTCACCAGGTGGTGCTGTTATACACTTATCTACTTTTTTCCTCAGCATGTGAACTGGGCAAAGTATTTGCTGAAGTGCTGCGAGGTTAGGTTTGTGCGTGTTTTTCTTTTGGGAAAGAGGTGGTAATCCCTGAAGAAATTAATTCATTTCTGTAACCTCTGTAATTATAATTTATAATTTGTAATTATAATTTTAATCTCTTAAATCTGTGGGCAAATTGCTGCAGTGTAAAAGAAGGGTTTTCATATATGATGCTGGACCTCTTCTGATCTATCTGAAGATATCTCTAGATATTAAAAGAAATTAGGAAGTACCATATTTTGCACCCATGGTGTCCTCTCCTGTGGGAAACCAGTGTCTCAGATCAGAGCACCTGCCAATATTGAGTAAAAGAAGGATGACATTTATTAACTTAATGCAAACTAGAAGATCATTTTCCTCTATTGATAGGGGATTTAGGTACACAACTCCAACAGGAACAAAGGAAGGAACATCTTCCAGGAATCAATTAAGTGTGTCTGTGCTTTTGGTGATGTTATCTTGTTCATTGATTTGTATATTTGAGACCCCTGTACTTTTCAGGATGATGCTGCTTACATTCACAATTATGCAGTCTATTACAGCTGATTCTTAATAGTGATGGCAGCTACTTTTTTTGTAACCTTTCTGGTCATGGTGCCTGCAAAGTCACTGTGTAGTAATAATAGTTCAGTTAAAATGAAGGTTTTTGTTCCTTTTTTGGGCTCAACTTAAAAATCCAGGTTATAGTCTTAGCACCTTTAAATTTAAACTGACAGAGGAATGCAGCTGTCATTTTCTTCACGTAAATTAAATAGTGTGTACTGACTATTAGGAACTCCATAGAAAAGTTCTGAAAATACCTTTTTAAATGTGTTTATTTTTTCTTTTTATATGTTTAGTTAGAGCGTATAGTAAGTGTTATCAGAAATACAGAGTGAAATCTTGTTGTTTTTTTTTTTTAAATCAATGGCAAAACTAAATTGACTTGAGTGGGGACAGCTCTTAGTCTTCTGCAGTAGTTGCAATGCCCTGAGATCTGCTGGTTGATACATAGGGCCATAATGAGATTTGCTGCAGGTTCCTGGCTTGGTGAATATTGCATTTCAGTGCTATAAATCTGGTAAAAAGACTCCCTTTGACTTCAGTGGGCTTTCCATCAGATTTAACATCCAGGCTATAGAGCTAGATACAAATTAGAGAGTTCATTTGGTTTGATCTGTATCACTACTATATGCATTTTAGAACATTGCTTTCTGAGTTTCATTATGTTTCTACTACATTCACAAAGCTATATAGATTTCCTCTGCTCTGCTAACTAATTTACTCCAAGAAAAATCTTTTGCTGTGAAAAGTGCATTACAAAAATCTTATTTTCTCTGAGCAATGTGTGTGAATAAATTAAAGGAACTTAATTATTTTCTGAACAAAACAAAACAAAAGAATGAAGCTTTGGTAGTTAAACGAAGAATTATGTTGTTTAGGCTATCTATAAAGAGCCAGGCTGGCAGGGACATGTAAGAGACTCCAATGACAATACTGAATGGTGGTTCATGGTTCTGCCTGGAACATTTTGGTTTTGTTGGTTTTGGTTTTTTTTTATTTATTTTTATTTTTGTTCATATGATTTTTGTTTCAAGCTCCCCTCTTTATAACTGCATGTTAAAAATACTGTTTTGCGTAGTTTCAATGGAATAATCTGCAGGCTAAAGGCATGAGACAAATAACTTCTACCTCCTCATCCTCCTCCCCTTGTCAGGACAGACAAGTTAAAGGGGCTAGGCTTTGTCTGTTCTTATTTTGTTTGCAAGGGTAGAAGCGACACAGAGCCTGTGTCCCAGTTCAGAACAAGGAATAACATGTCTTTGCTTATTTGTTTCTGGGAGTTGTGGCTTTAGTACAGGAAAACAGAGATGTAAACGCTCATGCAGGTACCAATAGTAGTGATGCTGCTGTAGAAGCCTTACGCAAAGCCAGGAACTTGAAGCCAGTTCCAGTGTATCTTCTTTGCTCTTGTTATTTGAACTACTGATACAAAGTTAAATACATGTGATCTGATGCAGTGCAGCGTAGGTGTAGTACTCAGGAATCAATGTTGATTTCATCAGTGAAGGTGAGATTTGGAGTTTGAGCACTGGACTTCCAGAGAATGGGCTTTGTGGCCCATTTCTGTATTGGAAGGTGATGGTTGGAGGAGTCAGGTTCCTCCAGTAAATTGTTTGGTTCTGGGAATTCTCTGGGTATACCTATCAGACTACAAACTCATTTTTCTGCTGTCCTTTGCATTGTTAGCAAGCTAAATCTTGCAGAGAATGACAGAAGAAATTGTTATGGCTGGGACTGAAGGAATTAAAGAAAGGTTATTAACCGTTGATGATTATCCATTCAAGTGATGCAAACCATCTCCTGAACAAAGAGACAGATACCATGCAGAGGCAGCCAATTTTTCAAGTCTGAGCTCCAGTGAGGAAAGGAGTATTATCTAACCTATGGGTCTTGTGGTAGGCTACTTTGACCATCTCGCAATACTCAGAGCATCACCAAAGGGATGTGGAGATCATAAAAGAAAAGCCTTCTTACCAGCTGCTTTTGAAGAAATTGGGAATTTCCAGGGCTCTGAAAGGACATGCAATGATGTAGAAACAAGGGAAGAAAGATTACTTTCAGGACAAGCTTTATCAGGCAGTAGAAAACAAAGGCAAACAGTTTTTCTTATGTAAGTATGATGTCTGATACCAATCCTGCCCAGCTGTACATATCAAACATGTTTTATGGGTGCTGACTAAAAATACTGGCATGCAGCAAGTTTGAGCACTCAGCCCATATTGCTACAACTGAATCTGTAGTCAGTGTTCATGGATCATGTTTGTTTTTTCATGCGAAAAGTACTTTTTGTTTTATCAGGAGCAAGATTATCTATTCACCTCCGTTGCTTCTTTGGGAAATACCTATGTCTAGGAAGGAAGAGAAATGAGACTTGGTAATTTCTCTGTACCAGTGAATGAATTATTTGTATATGAAATTGGCTTAAACTTGTCATGCACAACTTCGGAATGGTGCTTGTCTCACCAAAAGGCGTGAATATAACATGAGCAAATGTTGCTAAGCATCTGTCAGTGAGGCCGTCTGGGCTGCGAAGAGAAGCTTGTATGTCTCCCTTCAGTACTGAAACTCTATTTGATAAGCTTTTGGTGAAGCAACCTAGGAATGCCAAAAATGCTAATCTTCATTTGCATGCACTGAGAAGCTAACTACTACTATCTACCTATACACAGTTGCTGCAGCCTTCTTGGTGAAGAATAATGAATAAGGAGACTTTAAATAATACAGAGTGTTGTTTTTCTGTTCATGATTTATCTGAAGTGTCAGGTTCTGTGTCTTTTCAAACAAAAATAGTTTATAAAAGACAAATTGGATGATTTTGGATAGAAAGCTGAATACTTGATGTTTTCTCCCTGCCTTTAAAGCATTTGTTTACAGCTTAAGAAAAAAAAAGATAAAAATAAAAGAAATGTCTTTGAAGAGGCAAAAGCAAAGGAAATGTCAGATCTGATTTTTAAAGTGAACTTTACTACCAGGTCCATTATTTTCTGAGAACAAATGCACCAAAACTTTCAGAATTGTTTGAGAGCTTTTATAGATGATGCATGTGCACTTCTGTTAGGTTGGTTGGCAGTTTTTTGTACACTTATATCTGCACTTTGTCATGGCTAAAATGCACTTACAGGTGTGGACAGCAGTTCTTTCTGAAATGATTTGGCTTCTCTGCTTTTTCTGAAACCTGCTTGGTGAAAAGTGGACCAAGTAACAAAAGTACCCAGTAATTGTAGAAGGAACTCAGGACTAAACAAGAAATCAAGCACACAGAAACCACTGTAAATATTACCCTGAATTTATAGTGGCAAGTGGCAAAATGTTTGGTTGTGAAGTTGTACCCACATGCAAAAAGAGGAATGGAGAAGAGGAAGAGGGAATGTGTTGGATTTGAACTTGATTCACATGGACAGAAATGCTGAAAACTGTACTTGTGAAACATCTGGCTTTCCTTTGGGCAGTTCAGTCTTCATGGTACTAAGCCTGGAAGACAGCAGTGATTAGGCCCTTCCATTCAATCTAGAAATGATGGGGAAGTCACAGAACAGTTGGGGTTAAATGATGTATAATCCATTTATTAGAAGCAAACATGAATATTTCTACGGAACCATGTACAGAGAAGAACAATTACACTGTAAAAAAAGGGTTTCATGGTAAGACTTTTAAAGTAGAGGTCATGTAAAATGGCTTATGTTAAATTAATTATGGAATGATTATGGCATTAATTTCTGTAATGACTCTTTTTTACTTTCTGTTCCTTCAGGGATACATGCCATGAACTCTTGGGACACGTGCCTCTACTTGCTGATCCCAAGTTTGCACAGTTTTCACAAGAGATAGGACTTGCTTCACTGGGAGCATCTGATGAAGATGTTCAGAAATTAGCCACTGTGAGTCAAAACCTTTTTATGGCATGCTCTGTCATCTGTCCTCCTCTTTGGTTGATTAAGTGATGTGCATTATCTTATTAGAGCTTAACTGCATTCAGTCAGGTTGCAAATGACTATGATGTGACAGTCACAGAGTTTTAGGTATTTTTCCATTGATTTTAATAAGAGCAAAGCTGAACTCACTAGTCTTCAGGTTGTCGGTTTTATGTTTTACATGAAATAACCACCAATTTTCAGGGCTGAATGAGATGGATTTTCATGAAATCGCAGAATGGTTTAGGGAAGGGACCTTAAAGATCATCCAGTTCCAACCTCCTTGCCATTAGCAGGGACACCTTCCATTAGACCAGGCTGCTCAAAGCCCCATCTAACTTGGCCTTGAATGCTGCCAGGGATGGGTCAGCCACAGCTTCTCTGGGCAGCCTCTTTCAGTGTCTCACCACCCTCACAGTGAAGAACTTCCAAATACCTATCTAAATCTACCTTCTTTCAGTTTAAAGCCATTACCCCTTGTCCTATCCCTACAAGCCCTTTTAAAATGTTCCTTCCCAGATTTCTCATAGGCCCCCTTTAGGTTGAATTTACGAGGTTTGCACTGGCCTACCTCTTGAATCTGTCCTGGTCCCTCTGGATGGCATCCCTCCACTCCAGCATGTTGACTGTACCACACAGCTTGGTGTCATCAACAGTCTTGCTGAGAATGCACTCAATCCCACTGTCTGTGTCACCAACAACGATTTTAAACAGCACTGGTTCCAATACCGGCCCCCGAAGAATGCCACTTATGTCCACTTGCACATTGAGCTGTTTGTCTACCTAAAGGTGCTGAAAACAAGTAAGCAAGATCATTTTGAAAATAAAACTACATTTTGGTGTGTGCTGTCATCTCTACACTGTTAGCTCCTCCACAGGTGGTCACTTTGGCTCTTACCACTGCTATTTCTGTACTCACTGTTCTGATTTGCAGTTGTTCAGTGTATTGTAGTGTATGATGGATTTTGAGATGATGTTGCATCCTTGCTGTTGCTCCTGTTGGAGAATATATAGTTACTAACCCAAGGCTGTGCAGCAGTAGATCTAGACTGAGGTCAAGTGCCTCAGCTAATGGCTGTGAGATGGATTCTGTATTGCATCAAATGAGGCACATGCCAGTAAATAGCGTGAACTGGAAGACATGGTGCATTAAAGACGTTAGATGTTAGATGGCCTGTGTGTTAAGAACCCTCAGGTTGCACTGAAGTGCCCTGTCAAGTTGCCAGGACTCTCAGCTCCTGCCTACTTGTCAGACCTGTTATATTGTCATTTCCGAATAACTCATATGCAGCCCTTTGCATGATGACATAGGTTAGTGATCCTGGTCTATACCACTGGCTCAGTTCAGTTCTTTTAATTTATATATGATTCTTTTTGTGGATCCTGTTAAAACTGATGCTGCAAATAATTTAATGAACTATATTATATTAAAAACCAGCTCCATATTTAAATATTTTTGTGTCATGAAAGATTTTGTGAGATCCAGTAGAAGAATTGGCTACTTAAAAACTTACCTAGCATACTAGTGCTTTTCTGCACAAGTGCTGTGGGGATTTAAAGGGTTGGAGGTAACTTGGACACAGTTTGAACGTGGATTCAAACTGTAATGGTTTTCATGCACTGGCTTAGCAGTGGCTTAAGAGTCCCATCTGATGAAAAAGGCATTTGTACCCATTTGTTTGTTTTTAATTCTGCAGCCCTCTAGAAAAGGCTAGTAAATTTGTTTAAGCAACCATGCTCACTCCTTAGTTAGACAGCCAGTTCCTCTCATATGCTTCAGGGTGTGTTCCTTGGATTTCTAATGGATGTTGACTGAGAATAAACTGTTGTTTGTATGGAGGAATCATGAAAGTTGTGTGTTTGTTTGCACATTTGCTAGGAAGGGACTTAGTAGGAAGCAGATCTACCTTGTCACAACCTGCAGCCTCAAGAGAAACTACCTAACTGGCTGTCCCTGGAGGTACTTGGAGGAAAACAGTATCTCCAAGTCTTTTACCCCAAATTAACCTTGGATGACATGGGCCTATTGCAGAAGACAATGCTGGGACTGATCTCTGTGGAGAGAGATATTAATATAAAGTAACCTCTGAATAAAATATAAATACGTTTGCTCCTCCCTGTCACAGAAGTTCCGAGTTATGACTGACTCTGTTCCCACTTACGACGCTGTCATCTGAATAATGAGCTGCTCCTGAATCACAAAGGCAGAAAGAAGACAGCTGAATCACTTTCCCTTATCACACCAAGAATTTGATATCTGAGTCAAAGTTGATTCCTTCTCCCATGCTAGAAATGGCTCTTTCAGGTGGAATTGACATTTACAGAATTAAGGTAACCCAGGTAGTGTTATTTTTCATAGAAGCAGAATGTGGGCCTGTACTCTCCTGGGGCAGGTGCTTGACAAATACAGAGATGTTACTTGCCCTAAAATTTGCAATATAAACAGTCAATTTGAGAGCAAGTGGAAAGAACATTTCTCAGCAGTGAGGGTGAGGAGGCCAAGAAATTCATTCAGCTAGGCACCAAATGTCACCTGAGCTGCTGTTAACTGACTTTTGCAACATTTGGTCCCATTTCCATCCTAGATAAAAACCAGAGACATAGCAAGCTGAGAAATGCCAGCCAAGAGTCTGAATACAGAAAAGAAGTGCAGATTCCAGTGAGGCAACTTCAAAGTAAACAGAGAAACAAATGAACAGAGAGAGAAAATGCATATTAATGAGTTTGAAGCAATATGCCCAAAGCAAGCTTGCCATTAGCATGACCTGTTTCAAAAGATAGTGACATTAACAGCTGAGCCATTACAGGGAGGACAGTGGCTTTAGGAAGAGAGGAAAACACCTCTTAGGAATTTGGACCAGAAAGGGAAGAATTGTTACAGGTGATTTTGTTATCTTTTGCTCCATTCTGCTTTCAAAAGTCACCAAGTACTGGCTTTGATAGATCTGCTCTTCGTGCCCTGTTAGTACTGAGGTGCAAAGGAAACGTGCTGGTTTTGTCCCTGTAGAGCTGACACAGTGGATGTAGAGCAAGCTGGAGCCTGGTCCCTAGGCAGACTAGGAGTGTTTACCAAATTGCAATTAATCACATCTGTGCTGAAGGAAGGGTTTAAAAGGGAGAGCATTGCAGGGACTGATGTTGGCCAGCTAGAGGGAGAAGGATGGCTGCAGGGCAAGATGGTTGAATAGAAAGGATGCAAGCTCCCCTCATCCTCGTGTTTTGAGTCTGGTAATCAGATGGGGACAAAGAGAAAGAAGTTGCTTTTCTCCTTTTAAAACTTACTTAATCATTCTTGTCATGTGAGGGGAGTATTGAAAGAGCCAAAAGACTGGCTTTGCAGTGTTTTTTAGAGAGATGCCGTTTCCTTTACAATGTTTTAGGAGAGTAAGAAAGAGAGAAAGCACAAAAAACAAGTGACTGAGAGGTATGCTACTGAAACAAAACAAAACAAAATATTTGCGCAACCCGCGTTTTTGTCTGTAATATAGTATGATGGGGTTACTAGTTAAAGAAATGCAGTATTAGCCATGCATGTCTTAGTGCTAATTATCATCACCACTAATGTCTTGTGGTACTCTGTGTGACTTTCTAAAAACACTTTCGAGTTGATTTTTCAAGCATGACTGGTCTTTCTGACATAGTACAAAAACAAAGACTGCCTTTTCTGCTTACCTATCAAACCATAAGCTGTAGGGAGGACTTGACATGCGGTGTTTCAGCTAATTTATATAATATATCATTTCCAACATATTTAACAGCATGTAACATAAGGTTTTGTCAGGAAAATTGTACAAAAAATGCATCTCGGTTTACACTTCGGTATTACCTTGTAATTTGCGGACTTGGGAGCCAAAGCAGCTGTCTTTGTAAAGCTACAATGAAATGACTCCCAGCTCCTGCTGAGTTGTTTCAGTACAGTCCAGATTTGTAATGTGGCATGTATAGGATGTGTTTGTGTCTATGAAATTCAGTGGGGCACATTAATTGGTGGTGATTCAGAAAAGAGGTTAGCAAAGTGTTTTTGTATGCAGTTTATCACCAAGTCTTTCCACCAGGAATTTTGTAATTAGGGCCTAATTAGTTGCACTAAGTTTTTTTCCAAATTGTTTCTATTAAGAAACAATTATGAAGTTATGTTGAAACCTTCAGTTCTCTAGAACTGTAAAATTGTCATTGTTTCACCTCGATAATATTTGTTCTGGTGTTTTAATAGTATGGGACAGTAGAAATCAAGACATTTCTCCTGGTTTTGTTGTCCTTTATGTGGAAAACTACAATAGGGAATAGCTTCTGAATTAGAAGGAATTGTGTGTTATAAGACCTTGTAAATGCATTTCAATTGTGTTAGGAATCTAGATGTTTTACCTTGCCCAGATGATGACTGAGGCCAATGCTTTATTTCTAAAGCTGACTTTAATTTATCTGTGTAAGTATCACAAGCAAAATATTTTAAAGATATATGCTGGGATAAAAACAATGTTTAGAACTGCCTCCCTGGGAGAAGTCAGCAGTAATTCTTGTGAGCTTATTTGCCTGTCTTCCCTCAGGATCTATGTTATCTGGTCTTGCTGGCTCCATTCTAGTTCTTCTCCAATGCTGAACAACTGGCACATAATTCAGGGCACTTACGCATTGTGTTTGCTGAGAGGAAAACCAGAATGGAGAAATAGGAGCATTGCAGATAAAGACTAAGTTGTATTTAGTAACTTAGGCTAGATGCAGCATTTGTGGTCTCACTAGGCAGAGCAGACTGTTGCAGTCTCTCATCTTCACAAACAACAGGTTAGATTTCCCAGAGGGGCTATTTGACAGTGCTAGGCCATAAGTACAGCTTGTGAACTGGATTGCTGTCTCCCCCCCATGAATGAACAAAAGAAGCTGAGACAAAAACTATGAAAATATTTGAGATTTTGAACATTCCCACTGTGCCTCTGAAAAACCAAGATTGCTTGCATGTTTCTTGTTTA